TCTCTGTCTACGCAAAGTGATATCTTTTATCGCAGTCACACAAGAGAAAGAGCAACTTACGCCGATGTCGTGTAAAGAAATGACAAAGAACGATGAGATTTTTTGTTTCGCTAAGCGTGTCGCGTTTTTTAATATTTAGCAAACAACTTCGCTAAATAAAGTTTGACAGCTAACGTGTAGCGTGATAAATTCTTTGTATAAAATACTGTTTTACGTGTTTTGTGATAAGTATTTCATATTATATTTTATTGTGAACAATTAAGACGTAGTATTCCAACCATTTTTATTTAAAACATGGTGCGGTGTAGTGTATTAGGGTGTAAAAGTGATAGTGAAAGAAAAATGGCGGGGTTGTTTTTTCATTCGTAAGTATACCACTCTATCGGTTACTAGGTTTACAGTCTGTAACATATAATGAAATACATACATTGTGTATAATGTACTCTAGACGTAAAATTTATAGTTAAAAAAGTACAAAAATGACAATAAAATCTTTGGTGTGGCCAACTTTTCTATAAATTATTACCCGCTATTATAGAAAATAATAATATCTGCATAACGAATGTGTATTATCCTAAGTCCATTTTTTTGAACATTCACTTTGTAATGTCATTGTAACAAAAAAATAACGATCTAACTTGGTGGTATAGTATTTTTAAGTCAAACTAAAAAAACTACATCCTTTCGAACTCGTTAACATGTTTTAAGTCCAAGTTAATTCAAAGGTATACAATCTGATCTGGATTTATGCTTTTGTGCTGCTCAATTATCAAAAACGAAAGCGTCCTAAGTCCAAATAAGATGAGAAGTTTGTCTTTGAATGTAAGTTGAACTTTATTATTTGTATTTATTTAATGTATTACGTAAATTGTGAAATTAATATACCTTTCATTATCCTTAGGTAATTTCAAAAATGATATATCCGAATCCTTTTGTTTGCTCATTATGCGTCCATCTACGCAACAAAGTTCGAAGTTTTGTCATTATAATTTATCAAATAAGTAATATACTACGCTAGTAATATGTAAGTCAATGTAATATACACATATATTATTTTTAAATCACATTAATTTTTTTGAACTATTTTATCCTACAATTAATACACAATAATACAACTATACAGCTACTATACAGCTACTACAATAATACTAAACACTAAAAAAATTACAACAAGTGTTTACAAAAAACTATTTACGTAAACAGCGTTAAAAATACATCAATCGCTTACAACGCGCTAGCCACGACTGCGTATTACACCCAAATTCACCCAAATCGCGATTTTAGGTAATTATTTCACGCAGGTAGCAAGAGTGACAGAGGCCTGCCCTGGATGCCTCGCGATTGTAGGTAATTATTTCACGCAGGTAGCAAGAGTGACAGAGGGCTGGTAACAGTTAGTTTAGTATTTTCTTTCTTCAAGATTTAAACAGAACCAAAATAAATACAGTCCACTTATCTCTCATTCATTTACACAATAGTTTCTTTAAGTATTTTATTAGTCAGATAGATATCACATTTTTTTAGTTTCTTCTTTCTTCACCAAAGTAAATTATAATAAATAATTAGTCAAATACACTCCACTTAGCTCTACGTCAACTACAATACTTATCAATGATAATCGTTAATAGCAGTGTTCCATTTCAGGCTTACTTCACGTACTAATTTCTAATTTTATAGTAGTTGTGGGGTAAATTTTTCCTCACACTTGTAACCCTAAATATAGTGACGTATTTTTTGTCTCTTTCTGCGACACGCTATGGCGGTGTCTATAGGATTCTCTGTCTATGTGCCAAACATTTCTCCTCATTTCTAAGTGGTGCCGGCCCGGTAGTCAAAAAGTCTATCTATTAATGATCTTTAACTTAGTCAAGGGAACACATGTGTGCCTGACACGACGCCCCGACGCTCGCTCGGGAGAGGCACAGATGTGTGCCTTAAGAATTTATGAGGGCCAACCCGACAAAAAAGGTTTGTCATTATAAACTATAACAAAGATATACTGAAATGTATAACACCGACATAGACAAAAACATACTCTTTAATTTGGTACCATAATCTGTCAATGTCAAGTAAAAAATAAACATAAAAATTCATTCTGACGTAACGGGTTTTTACACCAGTAGTGCGTGAGCTAGTGCTTAGTGATTTCTCCGTTTTTCTGTGCGTTATTGAAATAAAAAGGTAAGTTTTATACTTTTGTGTATTCCTTGTAATATAACAAACACGTATAATTTATAGCATAAAAAGTGAAAAGTAAGCGCTAAAAATACTTTGAAATCGAGAAGTTCCGTTTTAGCGGTTGGGTCAAAAATGTGTTATTTTTCCGATTTTCATTTATTTCTAGTGAAAAATGTAAATAAAAAATAGTTTTATAATATATTTCAAATAACTAGAGGTTGTATTTATTTCAAATTCACACAAAAATATTTTTAAAATATTGTTTGAAAATTCATACAAATAACAATGAATTTCGGATTGCTTTTTTAATTTTTTTTATTTAATAGTTTGGTACGAGCAACGAATAGAAACACATAAAACATAAAAATATACATATTTCCAAACATTTTCATATAAGTTTCTCAAAAAACAAACATGTAGAATTTAAATTATTAGTATTTTCGTGACTAAAAGTGAAGTATCTACTACTACTATGCTTTTAAGGGTAATAAAAAAAAGGTAAATTAAAAAGGGGTAATTTATGAATTTTATTACAATTTCTAGCAACTTAAAATTTTATTCGATAGTTTATATATTCAACAAGAATTCCTGTAAGTTTTATCCATAAATATTGTCTCTAAGTGAAAACATAGTAAAATTTGCAAGTTAGCAAAAAATTTACAATTCCCGCCATTTTAAGGTCGCGAGCAAACAAATTACTTGACCTTGCGAGCTAACAGGCCCTTGTTGATGAAGATATCGCAAAAACATACAATTTAGAATTTAGAATCTCTTTCTTTAAAGTCTGTATAATTTTAATAATAAAGGTCTGCGCATGTGAAAACGAAACAGGGGCTTCGATGGTTATTGAAACTTCAAGTTATTGCTTCCGGTTTGTCAATTTTCATCACCATCACCATCATCATAACGAAGATATCGACTGTCTGCTGGGATAAGCTGTCGTCAAAATCTTTCAATTAATTGCGAAGTATGACATTAACCACAGACATTAACTGCCTAACCAGGCTGTATGAATAACGTCCCTTTGCTTTCAAATACAAAAAGATTAAAGTCGATGTTGTCACTGTCAGTGTGTCAGTGTTGCCGTTTTAGCGCATTTGGCACTAGATCTCGTGCAATTATATGGTGTACAGCGCATTTTTTTAAAATATTTAAGCGCTAAAAATATCTAGTGGAATCTGGCGGATAATTTGATATTGATATTAGTTGGCAGCACAGTGCGATAAAAAACACCAGCGAGTCTATCTTTCGGGTATTCTCCGACCAAAATGTTGCGGATGCCTTAATTGTTTTATCTCCCTTTTGTATTATGGTATTATATAGCTGTTTTTATTTTCATTATATTAATCCTCTAAGTTTTAATACCTTAGAAGAACTGGTTTTTCCCACTTTCGAGTTTCGTGTTAGTCTTTTAGCCCAGTTTTGTTTTTTTCGTGAAAATTTTAAATGGAGGTAAACCGAGGAAGAAGGCTTATAGCCAGCTATATAGATCTGAGTGGGAGCAAATGGCATGGAATTCAATTGTTCAAATAAGAAGGTGATGGTGATGATATAGTGAAATTTTGGGCTTAAGTCTCCAGATACAAAAACGCGGGTAAGATGAATTGCCTTTCGGGAATTAGCAAACTTAGCTATCAGCGTGCTGTCGCTTCCACATTTAAAAGCCGAAATATAGCAGATTTTCGTAGTTATGAACATTGTCAAAAGTAAGCTACATAAGCGTATGTCAGGTTAAACAGAAACAGAAACTTTTTTATTCAATGTAGATTATAAACAATACTTATTGAAAATCAATTTTTTTCATTTACCACTGGTTCGCAAAAAAACCTTTGTTCTGGGAAGAACCAGCAAGAAACCAAGAGGGACTTTTTTTTTTCAAATAATAGCTTACAATCATGTTTACAATTAACAACACAAGACAAATTGAAAATAATTTGGTAGCGATCACCCTTGCCAGGGATTATTATCATCCATAAATTCCTTAATATTATAGTAACCCTTTTTATACAAACATAGTTTAATGAAATTTTTGAACTTTGCGTATGACAAATTTTGTATATTTTCTGGGATTTTGTTGTAAAAGCGTATACATCGCCCCAAGAATAAATTACTGACTCGGTGGAGTCGAGGAGGTGAAACAGTGAACTTAAATATAATGATACCTTATCAATACAAAAATCTTAAGCAAAGCTGAAACACAAAAAGACCTACTTGAAAATGTCCTTGACAAATCACTAAAACTGTAAATAAAAGAATAGAAGCTAGTGTAGGTTCATTATCGGTATCTGGAGGTAACGATGACCATGAAGACGTACACAGTGAAATTGTCTAATTTAGTTGATTTTAGTACCTAATATACTTAAATAAATGAAGATGTCTTTAAATAATCGTATTTTTTCTTATTTCCTTATACATTTACGAGATAAAACTAAACGGAATCTGGTGGATTTTAGAAAGCAAGCGCAATTTTGATAAGGATTTAGTGCATCTTTTTTTCTTCATACGGCAACACTGGTGTTAGTAGATGTCAGATTATCAGTTGTGTGTCACTGGAGAAGTCTGCTCTGTCTGTTATTCCAGTTCCGCTCATACGGTGTATATAATACTAAATTGAGATGATTGAGAGCGTTTAATTTATCATATAAAGTTTTATTTAGTGGGGTGTTATCATAAACTCGTACATATCTTGTCGTTACGACACTGTGTTACGTAAACATTGCGATAACACTAAATCTATTTAAGACTACGAGGTTTAAAAAATGGTTATTTTATGTGTGAGTGCAAAACGGTTTTGTAATTTTTCTTCAGTTATATTCAGAAACATGCATCTGCTCAGAAATCGGGCCTATATCGATGGCCAGTGGATGAATGCGAACAGTAATAATGTTTTTCCTGTGAGTAATCCAGCAGATGATTGTATTATAACAGAAGTGCCGGATATGGATGCTTCTGATACTCAGAAAGCAATTGAAGCCGCGTCTAAGGCTTTTAAAACTTGGAGAGAAACTACGGCGAAGGAACGGTCTTTTATACTGCGAAAATGGTTTGATTTATGTCAAAACAACATTGACAGTTTAGCAGAAATCATAACGGCAGAGTCAGGCAAACCTCTTACAGAATCAAAAGGAGAGGTCGTGTATGGTAATTCATTTTTGGAATGGTTTGCTGACACTGCACGTCATCTAAATGGTGAAGTACTAAGTAGTCCATGGCCTAATAAGCAGGTGATCGTGACAAGACATCCTATCGGAGTTGTGTCTGTAATTACACCATGGAACTTTCCTTTTGCGATGATAACACGGAAAGTGGGAGCTTTAATGGCAGCAGGATGTACTTGTGTGATAAAGCCATCTGAAGATACCCCATTAGCGGCCTTAGCTGCTGCTGAGCTTGCGCACCAGGCTGGAGTGCCAAAAGGCGTGGTTAATGTTGTAACATCGAGCAGAAAGAATGCACCAAATGTTGGAAAAATATTGTGTGAAGATCCCAACATTGGATGCATTTCTTTCACGGGATCTACACAAGTCGGGAAAATTCTTTATGGGATGGCAGCAAAAGGAGTGAAGAGAGTATCATTAGAGTTAGGTGGAAATGCCCCATTTATAGTTTTTGCAAGTGCTGATATTGAGAATGCTTTAGACCAGGCTATGTTAGCTAAATTTAGAAATAATGGTCAAGCTTGTGTTGGAGCAAATAGGTTTCTGATTCATGAAGATATTTACGATGAATTTGTTGATGGCTTTAAAAACCGTATTGCTCAAAAATGTGTGTTAGGTCCGGGTACAAAGCCAGGTGTCACTTGTGGACCTCTAGTAAATGAAATGCAAGCTAAAAAAGTATCAGGTCTAGTTGATGAAGCAGTTCAGAAAGGTGCAAAGCCATTAGTTGGTGGTAAATTTGCTACAAATCTTGGCAGTAAATTCTATGCATCTACTTTGTTAATTGATGTAAAGCCAGATATGACAATATATAAAGAAGAAATATTTGGACCTGTTGCTGTGTGTCTTAAATTTAAAACCGAAGAGGAAGTCCTTGAAGTGGCCAACAGCACAAGAAGTGGGCTGGCATCATACATATTTACCAGAGACCTAGGACAGGCATTTAGAATGTCTCGTAAACTTCAGTTTGGAATGGTTGCCATAAATGATGGCATTCTCTCAGCTGCAGAAGCACCATTTGGAGGAATCAAAGAATCTGGAATAGGAAGGGAAGGTAGTAAACACGGTGTTGAAGAATATACTGATATTAAGTACACTCTGTTTTCTGGCTTAGATAAATAAATGGTATGATTATATATACCAGTACTATGTTCGATTTGTTAAGTAAATAATTATAAATAGTAATGTACATCTCTCAATACATTTAATACTGTAACTGTTATTGTATCAGTTTCATTCAACATTCATATTTCTCTGTAAGTAATGTTTATGGTTTAAGGCATTATTATTATTTAATTAAATTGTGTAAAATTATATTACTAAATGAACTTGTGATGTGAATGTGAGATGCCCATGTCTTGCCATGGACTTTTACAGGTTGATTAGGAAATTTGTGTTTGTGAAAAATATTTACTAATTTATTTATTTAAGAGGATACCTTGAAAATGAATCGAAGTTTTGGGGACGTGGCTTATTCCTTTGTTGGTGAAGCTAACGGATGACTCCGGGAGTGTCAAAATGAAAGTGATGCAATGACTACGTAATATGCAAATTATGAGATAGCCGTACCGGGCAAGCGCTCTGAAAAAAACTAAGTAAGCGCCAAAACATATTTTTATTTTTTTTAACAAAACTTCATTATGGATTAAAAAGCTAGTTTATGGGAACTTAGATATGATTATTTACTATGCCTTAAAAATAATTTCATGAAATTATTCGTAAGAATATTATAGTGTCATTGAGAAATGTAAATAATTAGAGCCTACTTTGCAATTTTTTTCTATCGAGAAAATTATATGATATCGTATTTTCCTTTTATGCAATCCAAGGTCATATAGTCAAAAATCATATATCAAAATTTTGGTTTGTTATCTATAAAACTTAAAAAAATATGTTAAATAGAAAAACCACCAAATTATCAAGGTATCAACCTTAAACCTTAATGTGCCATATTGTATGTTAATATGTTTTAGCTTTTATATTGATTATAAAAGTGGTATCAGTAAATTGCTTATTTTGTTAAATTATAAGCTGTTGTTTTGTTAAATTATAAAAAACTATCTGGCCAGGCAGACATTGTTCTGCCCTATCCGACGACCTTTTGTCATATAAAAAATCATTAAATTCATAATAAAATATATCGAGGCTCATTTATAGAGATAAAAACTATCCTATCTCTCAAGTTTGACCAAACTGCATACATTGTGCAAAATTATATTGTAATCAGTTCAGTAGTTTAGGAGTATATTGCGGACAAACAATGTGACACATAATTTTTATATATAAACATGGTAACAAAAATCTGCTGATAAGTATTTGCTGCTATGGTGTTAGATGACGCATACATTGTTTTAGTAGAAAGATGTTTGAAATCAATGATGTAACTTTATATCAATATAACTTTATAATGAATGTGTAATGTCACTCAAGTCTTCCAAAAAAATGTGATGATTATAATGGTTAGAACTTTATACTAGTAAATAATGTATTATTATAACTTTATTATATAAGGAATAATACTTTGCATTTGAATTTGAACATACAGTTCTGTCAAATTTGTGTAAGGTGTATTTCATACTGTATGAATGTGGCATTAATAAAACTGATTACTTTAGATAACTTCATAATTTGAACGAACATACTTCAGCTATTTTGCAGTTCATCACTTTTGTTATTAGGAGATTTTTGATGTCTTCTTGCTAAAAATATAATACTAGTTATGATTCAAAAGCTTGTTATTAATTAAAAAAATCCTTTCCTTGAACTATAATGTTTAACTCAAATTGTTGATTTTATTTATAAGGATTTTTGAAACTAAATAAAAAAAAGTAAAAAATAAAAATAACTACATTAGGTATAACTTATTCTTTGTCTCTTCTTTAAATACTTTATATACTTGCCTTTTAAATTTAACCTGGCTAAATTGAAATGTCGCTACTTGGTCTGTAATATCGAAATAACTGTCTTTTATGGAGCTGAGGTGGGGGGGCGGGGGCGGTTTATTTATATGTCAATAAGACATGAATGAAATGCCAACACACATTGGGGCAGCGCGGCGGACAATTACATGCCCTAAAACCCTCTCAGAAATGAGCTTAGGCCTGTGCCCAGCAGTGGGACGTGTATATAGGCTGTAACTTTACTTTACTTAAGACATGAATAACTATTTTGAATTTTTTTTTTATATGTCTGTTCATGCTAATCTTTAGAAAGGCTAAACCTATTGTAAGGAAACTTGAACAAATAGTGAGCAAGTAGGAATATAATTCAAATATTTTCTTGATAATAAAGAACAAAACCCATATCATAATTAAAAAGCATTATGCAGTTTCGGAGTAATTACCAACGGCAAATGATTATTACCAAGAACCCGTGTGGCTTAGTGATACAACGCTAAGCCATTCGGTTGTCCCGAGCTAAGTATAAAATATTATAATCACCATGGTGATTATCATCAAAACCTTTAAATTTTACCTGGCTAAATTACACTATTACTATTACTAAACGTAAGTCTTCGCCATAAATTTATTCATAGGCGGTATATTTGCCATAGTTGCAAGCTTGGTAGAATGATTGGCAAACGGGTTTTTTTTTTAATTTCACGTTGTTATATAATAATAATAATAATAATACTGGAGGGATCCGGGAGAGGATTTCAGCTACGGAAAGGAGGGACAAAAGTGACCCACCTTTTCTATATGGATGACCTCAAGTTATTCGCCTCCAGTCGCTCCCATCTTATGGAATTGCTAAAAATCACTTGTGAATTTAGCAATTCCATTGGAATGGAGCTGGGGACGGATAAGTGTTCGGTCCTCCATGTTGAAAGGGGAAGGGTTGCTAACTCTGAGGGCATAGATTTATTTATGCCCGTCAACTTAAGGACCCTTTCCGAGGCTGAAACATACCGATACCTGGGTATGTCAAAGAACATCGGTATAGATGAGGCTGGTATGAAACAGTCAGTTTGCGACGTGTTTTATGCACGCTTGACCAAAGTGCTTAATAGTCTTTTGTCCGGCCGTGTGAATAAGACACACGCATATAACGGTTGGGTCATGCCTGTCCTTATGTACACCTTTGGCATACTCAGGTGGACTCAGACTGAACTTAACGTCCTGGATAGAAAAGTCCGCACTACCATGACGTCCCATAGGATGCATCATCCGAGATCGTCGGTAATGAGGCTCTACTTGCCGCGAAAGCATGGTGGGCGTGGCTTTCTGAGCGCGCTCACCATGAATAATCGTGAAGTGTGCAGCCTCCGTCATTACTTCCTGGCTAGATCGGATGATCCATTCTATAATGACGTCATTTCTAGTGATAAAGGGCTTACCCCTCTATCCTTAGCCAACGATGGCAGGACCCAGCAGTGCTTAGCATTTCCGACCGGGAGACCGTGTGGAAGGAGAAGGAGCTCCACGGTAGGTACTATAGGGCTCTACATGAGCCCTTCGTAGATACAGTCGCCTCCCTCAACTGGCTACGTTTCGGTGACCTCTTCGGGGAAACCGAGGGTTTTGTCTGTGCAATACAGGATCAGGTTATTAAGACCAACAACTATCGGAGATATATCCTAAAGGATGGCACTGTCGACGTCTGTCGAGCTTGTCGCCATCCCGGGGAGTCACTTAGGCATGTCATCTCAGGTTGTTCGGCGCTTTCTAACTCTGAGTACTTGCACAGGCACAACCTAGTAGCCAGAATTCTACACCAGGAGCTCGCTCTGAAATACGGTCTCGTGGACCGGAAATTGCCGTATATATACAAGTACTTGACTTACGGAAGCCGTGCTCGAAAATGACCGCGCCAGGCTCTACTGGGACCGGGCCATCATCACGGACAGGACTATTCTTGCGAATAAGCCTGATATTGTGCTGATGGACCGGGCACAGTCAAGGATATTTTTGGTCGACATTACCATTCCGTATGACGAGAACCTCGTGAAAGCCGAAACAGATAAGCGAACAAAATGTCTGGACCTGGCTCCTGAGGTGACCGGTTGGGTCACCTCGGGATTGGTTGGGGTGGTCGGCCGACCGAAATTATTCCTGTAGTCGTCTCTGCGAATGGGCTAATCCCAGTCAGCCTCTCGGGTCATCTGAGGCGACTGGGACTCCGTGACGGACCGCTCCGGGCTCAAATGCAGAAGGCGGTGGTCCTCGATACCGCCCGCATCGTCCGTCGGTTTCTTTCCCTTTCCCCCCTAACCCTCGGCCGTTTGGTCTCCCCTGCCGAGGGCTTCCATCTGGTTGGATCTTTATTTATTTGTGTATTTTTTGTATTTATTTTATTTTATCGATATTTATGTATATTTATCTTTTCATTTTAATTTATAATTATATATTTATAGAAACCAACCAGATGAGAAAGCTATACAGATACCCCAATAATAATAATAAATTTTTATTCACTCCTTTATAACGTTAGAAACATAACATATACAAAAGTAGTAATTTCAAAATCAATTTTTTACTGTTTAACGAGTGAATGGAATAGAAACCTAAGGCACTGATAGTTTATAATTATTTTTTTTACATTAATATATTATGAAATTGATCTATCAATAAATACTACTGATTGGGTACGTATTATTTGATTTTGAATTTTGAAAATTGGTAAATTTATTTAGTTAAAAATTTTGTTGTTATTTTTTAGAACCGAAAGTTTATTTTAAATTAGTTGTATTTATTGATAGATCAATGTCGTAATATGTTAATGTAAAAGAAAAAAATGTAAAGTATCAGTGCCATAGGCTTCTATTCCGTTCACCTGTTTTTCCAGACTAAAAAAATCACCAGTATGTATATTTAAATAATACTAGTTGTTACGGATTTTATCGCGTAACTTTTTAAATACCCGACGTTTCGAGCGCTTTACAGTTACAGCAACCATGGTCACGGGAGAGACTGCTCCCTTGACTCTCTCCCGTGACCATGAGTGCTTTAAAAGTATGAAACGTCGTATAAGAAATCACCAGTATGTATAGTTTCACTGAGAGGTTAACGTCGGCAGCTAGACCTACTAATATAACTCTGTCACTGTCCATCTTCTTTTTTATTTCCCTCTGTCGCTTCTTACGACGCCAACAAGGTGATATTTGGATTCTCTTACGCCACCACTACACAGATAAACAAGTGAAGTTTTATATATTTAAAAAAAGTTGCAATTTTTTATATCGTATTTTTGCATTGTCGGAAATTAAGCTATATTCTAAACTTGAAGTTTGCAGCTCATCGGGAATTTAGTTTAAAATCAATCCACGAAAAAAAGAAAGACAAACAAGAAAGTGACTTAATAAAAACGTAGATAATAAAATGTATATGAAAAAATATGTTGTACCTGCTAAGTTTGACACGATATTTTCGATTATTTACAGAATACAAGAGGTGGATGACAGTTTCTTTGAGAAATTTGGGTCCTTATTAAAACAAGTCTCACAACGTGCAGCTCTTGAAGAATCAACTCCACTAGCTCCTTTAAAGGAGCCAGAAGAACAGGATGGAGAACAGAAGGACGTGGCGGATTTGCAAGGAGAAAGAAGTCCAGGTCGTGATTCCGACAGTGGCAATGAAACTCTATTGGACACAGATTCCGAGCCGGAAGACCCCGAGAAAATAGACCTCTATGTTGAAGCTATTGGTTGGAACGTAAGTATTTTTACTTATATTACGTTTTAGGATTATCATTTAGGATTTTTTTTATAGATTAAGGGTGACAAATGAGCACACAGTCCACCCGATGGTAAATGGATTCTGTGGCCCATAGAACCATATGGCCTTAGAAAATGTAGATGTGTTGTCACCCCTGAGGACTAAAATTACCTCGTTTCCAGTAAAAAAGATCTCCAGATCTCTATACTCACCACACGAAACACAGCAACATTAAGCTGCTATTTTACGTTGGTATTCTGTGAGAGTGTGGTCCTACCTAGGTCGAGCCTACCCATTCGTGCTATAACCTTAACATATACGTAAATGAATAGGATGGACATAAAATGCGTTTAATAAATTGTAAATGTCCCTCATGTCATGACTTACCGTGTAGTAGCGGCGTAACTTATATCGCTAACTTCGTCCCAGCAGTATCCTCCTTATAACAACTCAAACTAATAAAAACTGCTTTTGCCAGTCTGCTTGCCAAGCGTGGCAACAATGGCAAATATCGTCTCTATGAGGCAATCCATCTAGAGCAGTGGACTTTAATGGGCAGTAATTAATAAAAAAAGACATATTTTTTTAAACACATTACGTATAACTTGTTTCTTAGTTATTCGTCTATCGACATTCTTATCTATTAGACTTGCAGCGAATAGTATATTCGGCCACAGCCACACGTCGGATACCGAATATTCTGCGGACTTCTTGGCTGAATAGCCTAATGTCAGACAAAAGTACTTGACCGGGAAGGAAGTATTAGTTCATTAAAGATAGCTTGATCTCTGCGACAGCTGTCAGTAAAAATCACGCCTATGAAGTCCCGAATTTCTTAGTAGTACAGACAGTACCCGTCAATGTCATACTTTATGGGCATGCCGACCTAATTAGTGCATGCCCTTCATAATGCATGCTATCTTTTATGAACTATAGTGTTTATTCTTCAGAGCGTCTATTATCTATAAGAGATATCTATGAGAATTGTCTATGAGAAATAAAGGAGTAAATTACTGCCTGAAAGTGAAGAAAACTTGGTCTTTCTGTACCATTATCTTCCACGTTAATTACGATAATTCGAGTGCATAGAAATTTATCTAATAGTTCTTTTTTAATTTTTATAATATGGAAGTTGATTTAAAGCAAGAAAGAACGGATAAGAATGATAGAAGAATATCGGATAATTTCCAGGCAAATATTAAAATGTTCTGGAAACTTGTAAGAACTGCCAGGGGACATTCGAAACAGCCTATGATGAATGCTATAAGAGACGAGAATGGCTATATTCTGAATGATGAAGTTTTGAGTTTAAAGAGATGGAAGGAATATTTTGAAAGCGTGTTTATGAGTGAGGAGACAACCTGTGTACTAAGTGAAGTAGAAATTCCGAAAGAAGAGGAAAGAGGTAGCGAGATAAGTATAGGTGAAATGATGAAAGCAATGAAAAGCATGAAAGCAGGTAAGGCTGCCGGATATGATAGAGTTTCACTCGAAATGCTAAGGGCTGGAGAGGAAGTGGTGGCAGGCCTGCTGCACACCTTGTTTAATTTATGCTGGGAACTGAAGCGGGTACCGGTAGACTGGTGCAAAGCCGTGATAGTCCCAGTATATAAGGGAAAAGGGATCGCAGCAGGACTGTAAAAACTACCGTGGCATCAGCCTTCTTAGCATTGTGGGAAAACTGTATGCTAAGGTACTGATTGAAAGGGTCATGAAAGAAACTGATGGAAAAATTTGGGATGTGCAAGCGGGATTTAGAAAGGTAATGGGATGTACAAATCAAGTCTTTTCCATGCGCATGATCGCGGAGAATTTTTTGGCCAAAAACCAAAAGGTTTTTTGTGCGTTCATGGACTTGGAAAAGGCCTATGACAGAGTGAATAGGGATGTGCTATGGCAAACACTGAAGTCATTTGGGTTGGGCGCTGGCTTGATACAGGCATTGGAGTCCCTTTATAGGGACTCTAGTGCTTGTGTTAGGATCAACGGGGTCTACTCGGACTGGTTTGACATCCATAAAGGTGTCAGACAGGGCTGTGTGGCTTCCCCGTGGCTGTTCAACCTATTTATGGACAGTTGTTTGCAAACTTTGAAAGTTGAAGAATGCGGATTAAGAATGGGTGAGTGAACCGCAAATGCCTTTTGTACGCCGATGATCAAGTTATACTTGCGTCGTCGGCGGCCGAGTTGCAAATGATGGTTACATTAACGAACAGATCATTAAAAGAAAGGGGTATGAAAGTGAACGCAAGTAAGACGAAGGTTATGGTTTTTGAAAGAGAAGAAAGTAAAACGATTTGTGAAATAAGAATAGAAGGGGAGTTGATCGAGCAAGTAGATGAGTTTGTATATTTGGGCTGCGTATTTAGCAGAGATGGGAGACATGATAAGGATATAGAACGACGAGTGAATGCGGGAAATAGAGTAAATGGGGCCCTGCACTCTATTGTGAAGAGTCAAAATGTGTCGAAAAAGGCACGTATGGCAATTCACAATGCTGTGTTGGTCCCTACTTTAACGTATGGTAGTAAAAGTTGGGTGTGGCAGAAGAAGCACGAGAGTAGAATGAACGCAGTAGAAATGCGGTCGTTAAGGAGTATGTTAGGGCTGAATCTGAACGACAGGGTAAGAAATTGTGTAATAAGAGAAGAGTGTGGTTTGCAAGATGATGTTGTGACCAGGATTAAGAAAGGAATGCTTCGGTGGTTTGGTCATGTGGAAAGAATGAATGAGGAAAGAGTGACAAAGAAAATTTATGTTGCAGAATTGAATGGCAGAGTCGGAAAGGGACGTCCTAGACGAAAATTTATCGACCAAATTGGCGATTTACTGAAAACGGGCCAAATTAGGAGTACCCTTAACCGACGAGCATGTATGCGGAGGTGTATGGATGTGAAGGAGGCGAGAGAGGTGTGTCAGGATCGTGCCAAATGGAAGTCTGTAGTCTCTGCCTACCCCTCTGGGTGATAGGCGTGAGTGTTTATGTTTGATTATGTACCTGTGACTACTTTACTTATTACAAGAAAAATAATTATGATAAAAATAAATGGAATTAAAGTCGCCGAACAGGCCGAATACTGAGTAATAACCGAATATTCGTTGCAATTCTATTGTACGAGTATATACACATAAATAAAATTGAAGTGTTCGTTTATAATATCAAAATAAGAGCTTTTCCGGCCTTTGTTCCGGCTGATCTCTGAAATACATATTCTTGTGACGGGACTTTCACTGGCAGATAGCTGATGTTATAAGGAATAACTAAGGCTACTTATATTTTTGTAATAGAATTAGGGTACCGCGCAAAAATATGAAAACCTACAAAATCAAATGTCAATAAATTCCACGCGGACGATGTCGCGGCTAAAAGTTAGTTAATATGCAACCTTAATACAACGACTTACTCGATTTAACAAATTCTTCGTAATCCCCTTGAATTGTCCATAAGAGTCAATGTAAAATATACCTTTACATTGCGAACCTCTTTGTAACGAATTTTAACTATCAAGAAAAAGTGTAAATACCTTTAATTAACGATTTTTGTCAACCCAAGATCTTTATATTAATATAAAGATGATCTTTATATTAATAAATATCTTTTGAAAATTATAGAAAAGTGATGAGGGGGAGGTGGGGTATAAAAGTTATTATAGTAGTATAGTAGAAGTTGTAAATAAAATTATTTTTTTACACCCTTATAACAAATTTTAGACCAACCTAACCTCAACATAACAAACCTCAGTTCAACGAATTACTTGATATAGCGAATTTCGTTGTATACGATTTGAGATAATATTGTTTTTTTTTTCATTTATGTGTCGCAGACAATGGCTTAATCAGCTGGTTAAAACCTACGTGCCGAAAGGAACTTTTACTAAATAATTATTAAAACTATATTTATATTCTGCATAGGATAATTCATCACCCCATTTCGTTTCGTCCTGTGCGTGGCGCAAGAGGTCCGTTTATCTACTCATGTGCAAGAGGCGACTGTGGGAAATGCCAGAAAATATTATGACTTATAATAGATGGCTCTGCGATCGTTCGTCTGTCAAGCGTGCCGATCAAGTTAACTCCTTCCTACAACGATAGAGGTGGTGAAGATAAAGAAAATCCCTATGTTCATGGCTTACTCGATGATATCACAAGTATTGCACTGGTTTACAACTAACAACTAGCTTTTGGATGACGATAAAACGAAATGCATTTTAAGAAATTTATTTTTTTGCCAAATGTAAGTTGGGTTACTACACTTACTAGCTTGGACGATTTTATTGTAGAATAAGGGTTACAAACGAGCACACGGTCCACCTGATGGTAAGTGGATGCTGTTGCCATATAGACATCTACATTTATCAAAACGCAAATGCGTTGTCACCTCTGAGGACTAAGATGGCATGCCTCGTTTCACTGTAAAAAATGGTCTCCGGATCTCTACACTCACCATACGAAACACAGCAGTATTAAGCTGATATTTTGCGCTGGTAGTCTGTGAGAGCGTGGTCCTTCCCCGGTCGAGCCGACCCATTCGTGACGACTCTGTGGCCATGGCTTACAATGCTACGGGGTCGCGGTTAGTATGTACGAACAAGTATTTGTATGGCATACTAAGTAGTTTTATACATGGTAGAGTGGTAGGGGTAACGTTAAAAAAAAGTATGTATAATAGCATGGTTATACCATGTGCAGTATAATATGGTACATACTTCAGTTAGTAACTTTACCAGTCTTTCTCAGACCTTCAAAAGTGAGAGAAGATTTGTGCCCAGTGGACTTACACTCCTGGGCACAGGCCTCCTCTATCTGATTATCTTAAAGTCTATATACTTATATAAGCTGTGACTTTACAGTCATTCTTGGTATTAGATTCGACTTTCGCCTGAAATGGGGACCTCATATTGAGACCATGTCAAGAAGATTTAGTTTCGTTGTATTGCTAGGCACAGCAAAATTTATTTCAGTTATTTTCAGTGTTATGTCTTACGGATTATTATTGT